ATATATATATATATAATGCTATAATTTAATATAAATGCTTTACGATGAAGATACGCAATTTCAAACCATAGAGAAACAACTTCAGATATTAGTTACTCATTTCGTATAAAGAAAAATCATATTTTTGAAAGTTTTTTATAACTAGGAGAGACCAGAAACAAAGAGAACAAACTATAAAATAAAATGAATATAGAGTCATAAAGAGATATAAAGAAAAATTGAAGTAAGTAGAACGAGACATTAAAATGAGTATAAAAATAATGATGTTTTTTCTCATAAACGCTTGATGTAGGTATATGTATATAGGTGGCTCAATAGCACGACTTGTTTATATGACGATACATTCAACTACATTAGAACGTACTTTTAAAGTAAATCACTAACGACATTGATTGCATTATTAAAATATTGTAAGGATTAAGTTAGCCCTTATGTGTGTTACTGTTAAATTAAGAGCTTAATAAAAATAATATATACCCGCCAAGAGTCCTTATATCAAATTAGAGCTTGGATATTTGAAAACTACATTGAACTAATTGAAAGGCGCGAGAGTGTTTAAGAAGGCAATATTAATATTTGGTTAAGTGAATGAAGGAAAGAAAGAAGCAAAATTTGAAGAGCTAATAAGGCCTTAATGGTAAGAAAAAGATAAGTTTGGTACTGATGATTATTATTATTATTACTTATGAGTTATGACAACAGGAAGAGTTGGCGATATAACATATAATACATAAGAAACTTAGTACCAACCACTGAGCAGCATTAATAGAGAAATAGATTATAAACACGCCATGAACGGCGGCAAAAGCTCCAGCTCCGGCCACGCGGAGAAGTCGCCGGAGGAAGTCCACGATGATCCGCCGGGAGAAATCCAGCAACACTCGAGCTCGCCGTCCATGAGCTCCGGCAACTCAATCTGGCCCCAAAAATCGTCGTCCGAGGCAATGCCGCCCTTCTCGTCGCGCGAGGCTTTGATGGTGCGCGCCGCCTTCGCCGCCGCCGCCTGGATGTCCCTGGGCGTGCGCGTGGGCGGAAGCGGCAGGGACTCCACCTCGTCGGGAAAGTTGAGCTGCGCCTTCCGGCCCTTGAGGCAGAAGGCCGCCACGTCGTAGGCTCGCGCCGCCATCTCCGGCACCGGAAACGACCCCAACCATATCCGCGACTTCTTCCGCGGCTCCCGAATTTCGGAGACCCATTTGCCCCAGCGGCGCTTGCGGACACCGCGGTAGACGGGGTGGCGCGTGGAGGCCCTGGTGGTGTCGTCTTGGGGGCACGGCGGAGGTTGATGGTCCATTCAAAGCAGCGGGTTTTGGGTCTCTCAGTGTGTCCGACATTTATAAGAAGGGAGAAGAAGAAAGTGGAGATTACGAAAATGCCCCCAGAGATTCATAAAGAGGCAAAGTTACTCTTTCTACGTAAAGGCCCAGCATGCAATTAATTACGGTTGCCATGTTTCATACCATCACAACGCGCTTCAACCTACCTTCAATCTTTTTTCAACCACTTATCATTTCTATTTCCACTTCACACTTTAATAATCGCAACACATTTTCTAACATTTTTTATTTTCTTATTCTTCCAAATGTCTTCTACTTCTACATCATCTATTTTTATTTTTATGCTCTCCCTTCATAATTAATTAGCTAAACTCGAAATGTTGTCTTTTTATTAAATTTTAAATAAAAGTCATTTTCCAATAAATATGTTACAAAAATCAAAGTAGAACACATCTTTATAATTTCTATGAATAAAAAAATATTTTTAAAAATGTGCCGCTAATATTCTTAAAAAGGAATTCAGATTAATTAAATTGTAAGTTAATTAAAAAATTAAATGGTGAAAATTGTAATTAACTTTAGTTAATTTTATCATACAGATGCGTAACTTTTTTTTATTGTAATTAATATCAATTATTAACTTTTTTTAACCAATACATACATTTTACTATCTTTGAAAGTGTATTTTTTTACTAGTTTAATTTTTATACTGATTGTCTGTGTATAAATTTTAATTATTATAAAAATTAACAAATTTATTATATATGACAATTTATAATGAATAATATTTTTATACTATATATATTATTTATTTTTTAATAAAGGATAGCGAAGGTGAAACTTATGTCCCAGAAGATGTGAATTTGAATCTGATTATGGATGTGAGAATTTGATAGTAGTTAATATGATAATTTTAAAAGTATAAGTGGTATTTGAAGCGTGAAATTTTAAAATATCTATGATCGTAATACGTTGATCGATATTTGTTTTTCTTGTTTCATTCATGATTCGCGGCTGACAGGTTTGACAAAGACACATTAGAACATTGAAATTAACGCGACAACAGCTCGTGTTAAACTCGACCACAATGTAACAATTAACACGACACCTCGACCAATTTAACTTAATCAAAACACTCAAGTTTAGAATTACACAACACGATCACCGACCGTGATGTGAAAATTCCATTTACTAATTCCTACCAGTCAAACTTCCAAGTGGAAAATAGTTGAAGCAACCTGCGAATTACCAATGCTGAAAAAAAAAAAAGTTATAAAAAAAAACAAATGATACGATTGGACATTCTAACAAGCATTTTGCAAGGTGAATTGACAGTGAAGTGTGAAGTTAAAATTAACAAATTAAGATCGTGAGAGCCACGGCGTGAAGAAGAGCGTTTAAAATTGTGTGGATGAACACGGTGATGTTGGGAGTGAAATGACGGATGTATCCCTGCCTCACAACTTCACATGGGGAGAGTGTTGCACGAGAATTGGGTGACTGTTTCACCTTTTTGCGCTCCATCGGTTTTGGTGGGTGAGAGGATGGTTTGATTGATAATGATATTTTTTATTTATTATTATGTGAATGATAGTGATATGAAATTATGATTTATGCATGAACATACACAAAGCCAATGTGTCACTGTTCTTGCCACTTAAGGTTTGAGTTGTCAACCCACAAACCCTATCATGTGTCCCTGTTCTTGCCAAATGCCATTTAACTGCCCAATTGGCTTTTGACCTTAGCATACCAACAACTCAAAAAGATAAAAAGTTTTATGCATTCCATGAACCGTCTTATCATTTTCTTATTTACATTTTCATTTCAATTTTGAAACCCACATACTATGCAGTATTCGGATTATATAATCATTATAGTTTGCAACAAATAGCATTCAAATTACAATCATTTCAGTCAGAGGCAGAGGGAATATGGATTGACATGGTATGTCACGATCTTTCTATTTTACAATTTTAATTATTATTTTATATGTTCAGTTAATAATTTATATAAATTAAAATAGGTTTGTAATTTTTTTAATTATTTGAAAAGTTGCAGTCAGGTAATTATTATTTTCTTCCTTCCAAAATGATTGTCACAAAATAAAGAAAAAATATGTCATTTTAATTTTTGAAGATAATTTTATTATAATTTTCTATTTATATCCTTAATATTAAAGTACTTTCACAACTACTTATTATTTTTATAAGATTAAATATTTTATAAAATTAAATAAATTTAAATTTATAAAATTATTGTTTTCTCATACATTTATTTATTTTCTTAGTATGTATCTTTGTCTTAGCTATCCTGTTTTGAGTATTTTTGTCTTAGTTATGGCCCACATATCACAGTGGATCTTCATATACTGGGTATTTATTTTTGGGCCTTTTTCAAAATTGACACAACGATAACCTGTCATTAGGAATAGAATGAGATCATGGGACAATAAACTTCATGTATGTATAAGATTCCCTAAATAATAATGATTAGAAGAAATTCTAATAACACACTATTATATCTTATGATTGTTAAAAAAATATCTATCTTACGATTATTGAAGTGGAATTTGAGTCATTAGAAGTGAAGGGTATAATTTATTATATATACAAGTATATTATTGTACTTTTCTGGACTTTGGTCTATTTCATATATTTAGCCTCTTCGATTCTTTGGAGTGGAGATTGAAAGAGTG